ACACACACACACACACACACACACACACACACACACACACACACACACACACACACACACACACACACACACACACACACACACACACACACACACACACACACACACGTGACAGGACATAGTGACCAAGCGAGTGGGTGGCTGACTTGTAGATGGCGTTTCTGAACTCCGGGGTCATGTAGAGCGATTGGAGCAGGCTGTTGAGGTAGCACGTGGCGCCCTGGTTTGCCAGGCCCACAAACCCTGGTGGTGATGGGCACAGTCACGGTGGTGGCGACGGCGGTGTCAAGTGGTGGTGGTGAGATGAGGTGTACGCGGATCACTGGTATCCATTACCGCGCCAGCAAGCAACGCGCAAACCAGCCACCCGCACACACACCCACACACACCCACACACACACCCACACACACCCACCCACACACACACACACACACACACACACACACACACACACACACACACACACACACACACACACACACACACACACACAGCGTACGTGTTGATGATGCTGCCTGGTCCGTGTCGCTGTCATCGTCGCTGTCGCTGTTGGCGCGGGTGCGAATGGCCTTCAGCTCACCGCCACCAATCACGTCCACAGAGGTGGCCGCTGCCCGCTTGTGGCCGCCCTGGCTCGAACCCTTGAGTTTGACGAATACACACAAAAGCGCGACGCGAAACAATACAGCAGGGCGCAGGAAGCGTTGCGGCGGCGGCGGCGGTGGTGGTGGTGGTGACACGGGTGAGGAGTGTATCGTATACACGTGCATGTGCACTTGTGTGTGTGTGTGTGTGTAAGGGGTTGGGGGGAAGCGGTCAGACGTGATGCGACCATGTTGCCACGGCACGTCACCAGGCAGCCAGAACGCGATACGCATACACCCGAGCACACACACACACACACACACACACACACACACACACACACACGAGCACACGCATGAACACACACACAGACACAGCTTACGGTTGCTGGTACTGGCTGGTCGCCAGTTGGCTCTGGAGGGCCGCTGTCAAGCTCACGAAGAAAGAACTTGTTTGTCAAGTGCTCATCGACGGAAAGCTTGCTCATGGCGCTGGTGCAGTAGCAGTCCACCTCAACCTCCGTGCCGTCGCGTTGTTCGAATACAACCTGCAGCCCCACCATACACGCACACATGCACGTGCAGATAGACGCAGTGTCAGAACAGTACCAGCGAACGAGCACGCAAACACAATGGCACCAGCAAGGCACGCTGGCTTCAACCCGACCACCTCCAACACACAGGCACGAACTGGACCTTGAATGTTTCGGGCTTGTAGCCACACTGCGCAGCTACGGCATCGCAGAAGTCCTTTTGCGTTGTGGTTGCGCTGGAAGTGAAGGTGTGCTTGGTTCCTGTTGTCTCATCGCGCACGATGCAGCTGCACCGACCCGGTGACGAGGCGCACAAGAAGACAAGGCGCGGGTGAATGAATGCGCACGAACGTGGTGAGGAGAGCACCCAGCGATGGAACGAAGACGCAGTCTGCACACGGACATCGACGCAGTCCTCACATAAACATATGTGCGTGTTCACGAGACAGCTAGGCATTCCCTCCAATTCAAAACAATGCACGCCACCAGACTCAGGCACGGACACACACACACAGACACAGACATGCACAGCCCCTTCTCCACATCCTACAGACACATGCACACAGAAGACACGCACTTGATGGCTGCTGGGCCAGCACTGGTCTTGCCCTGTGGCTCCTCGTGCAGCATTGCTGTGGGTTGTTGATGCGTGTGGATTGTCCACCAAGATTACGCAAGTCCCGCACACCCACCAGGTAGATGACCGTGCGCTCAAATCACCCTTTTGCCGACGCAAGTGTTTCTCAACAACAGCCCACACACCCACACGCACGCGTTCACGGTGATGGCCTCGTTCCTCCTCGCTTTGGCTGAACGCTGCCTTGCTTTTTGACTGCCTCTTGACTGCTCGTTCCTTCTTCTCCCGTCTCTTGTGCCTCTGTGTGCTGCCCGATCCAGCTTTGCCTCCGCGGCTGTGACTGTGTGTCGTCGGATTGGTGCGCCACGCAAAGACCCACGATTCCCGCTATTTTCAAGGCCACCAAAAATGCAAGTAAACTCTCAAATTGAGGATGTAAAACAAGACAAACACGCAAAACAGATGTACTGGCGAACGCTCATGTACAGCCCTGAAGTATCTTGTACAACGCTCCTTCCCACAGTTCGACTACTCCCTTTTCTCTCAGTCACAGTGCACAGACGCGTGTCTCACGGTGAAAAGATCAGGCAGTTGTGCCTCGTTAGACGCGACGGGACATGGGCGCAAGTGGTACAACATCAAAACACAACATCAACACGTCTCCCCCACCCTTATCGTCCTTCCGTGCTGTCGTAGAGGGCTTTGTGCTTGCTTCACGAAGATATTGCGACTTTTCTCTCAACCCCTCGCTTGACCACCCACGAAGGGGAAACATACAAACCAAGCAAGGCGACAAACAACACAACAAGGTTTGGCGGCAACGCTCAGGCCCAACAAACAGCAAACACCAAACAACACCACTCATCGGCAACAGCAGCAGCAGCAGCAGCAGCAGCAGCAGCAGCAGCAGCAGCAGCAACCAAACAAGTGCCGCCACCTTCAACCGAAGGACCAAGGCTCAAGCATTTGCTCTCTTTCTTTCTTTCTCTCTCCCTATTTGCACAACACACAACAACGGCATCAAACAACAACGGCATCAAACAACAACGGCATCAGACCTGCCACCAGTCTTACCAGTCAGTGGTGAATCGGCGTTCGCACTTGCGTACGCGCCCGAGTGGTCAGTGACCTGGCACCTTCCCAAGCAATCAAGATGCCACCGTCACTCAGAAATACCATGACGGCATCGACTCTCCTGTGCACACTCACGTGCTGCATCCTCATCACGTTTATTGTCACTGGTACGTGTGTTTGAACAAACCCGCGCCTTCGCACACCAACTTCTCTCACACATGCAACGCCCGCAACTGTCGTCGTTCGACACCTTTTCTATTTGACACACACGGAGCACCCGTACCCCTTTTGCCCTCACCAAACACTTTCGTCCAAACTTGCTCGTTCACACACACACACACACACACACACACACACACACACACACGCACACACACACACACACACGCACACACACACACACAAAACCTAACACACGCACACACCCACATAGAAACGCACGCCGTTTCACTGACCAATGGCACGGTCGTGACGACACCAAGTGGAACCAATCTAACGCTGAAGCTGTCCGAGGATGACTTGAACGCGCTCAAGGCACAATACAATCTCGCAACGGGTCAAGGATCCACATTCCTCAACATCGAACCGGGCGCCATTCGTGATCTCAGCGGAAACCCAGAAAGCGTCGGCGTCCAAGGCCTGCAACCCCTTGCATTTCGCCAGGATGTCACGGCCCCACAGCTGCGGCGCTTTGACCTGAACATGTCAACACAACACATTGTGCTCGCGCTCTCCTTCTCCGAGCCAATCCACGCGGCTCGACTGAATCCAGAGCACCTGGCTCTCGTGGCTGGCATCCAAGCACAACCACAGCAGGCCGTGCCACTCCGTGGCGCCTTTCCAGCAGACACCAACGCCAACTCAACAACGCACACCCTCGTTCTCGACGAACGAAACGTGCGCGAGCTCCAGTTGGCCCGAAACGTCTGCAACACTGCTGCAGATTGCTTCCTTGTTGCCACCGCTTCAGCAGCCAAGGACATGGCAGGCAACGACTTGCAAGCAATCCCTCCCAACGCGACCCTCGCAGTCAGCACGTTCACCCCGGACGCAACGCCACCCGTGTGCACAGCCTTCCTGCTCGACATGGACGCAGCAAGGATTGTCCTCAATTTCACCGAGGTCATTGACACGGCAACAGTCAACCTCACCCGAGCCGCGTTTGTGTCCACAGCAACAGCAGCCACGGAGCACACATTGGCAGGGCAGGTGACCTTCCCGTCAACATCCTCCCTTTCCGTTGCAATGCCAGAGCAGCTCATGAACGAGCTCAAGGTGGACCTCGGAGTCGGACACTTGGCGACAGAGTCGCAGCTGCGCCTGCTACCCGCCTTCGTCAAGGACACGCAGGCCATCGACAACCCGTCCCAGCTGCTGCTGCCACAACCCTTCATTGCAGACACGACGGCGCCTGTGCTGCGGTCGTTCATCTTCAACACGTCAAACAGCCACCTCCTCCTCAGCTTCGATGAGCCCGTCGTGCCGGAGACCCTCGACCCGACCAAGATCACCATGCACAACAACGCCTCCACGGCGCTCACGCTGACTTCAGGGCGCGTTGTCAGGTACAATGACGTGCAGACCGAGATCACTTGGGCGCTGGCTTCGTCAGACGCTGTGCATGTTGCCCAACTCGAGACACTTGCGGTGTCACCAGAAACCACGTTCATCACTGCAGCACCGGGCCTCGTCAACGACACGCAGAACAACCCCTTCAGCCAAGCACAGACGCTTGCTGCAAGCCAGTACATCCAAGACACCGTGCCCCCACGACTGGTGGCATTCAACCTCAGCATGACCACGCTGCAACTTGACCTGCAATTCAGCGAGGTGGTCGACCACGCCAGCTTCAATGTCACGGGAATCACGTTCGTCAACGGCGGACAGTCCTACACGCTCACTGGCCAGGCGGCACAGAGCAACCTTGACAAGACGTCACTCACGGTCACACTCACGACGCGCGATGCAAACGAGATCAAGGCTCGGACCAGCATCTGTACCAGCCAGACAACAACCAAGATCACAGCTGTCTCAGGGTTCGTCGCAGACCAGGCAGGCAACCCAAGCGTGGCAGCTCAGCAGCTTCGTGCACAAGCCTTCACGGCTGACGCGACATCTCCCGAGGTGGTTGCGTTCACCCTGGACATGGAGACGGAGGCGCTCACCCTCACCTTCTCGGAGACGGTGGACGTGGCCAGCATCCAGCCGGGCCTCATCGCCATCCAGGCCCTGGCAGACCTCTCCGCCTCCAACGCCTCCGTCGCAGCCACGGCCTTCCCCGGCGACATTGCCCTCGCAGCAAGCGACGTCGCCGTCGTCCTCGACCCAGGCAGCGCCGTGCACCCAACAGGCACCCTCACAACGGCCCGCATCACCCTCACAGTCGCAGATGTCAACCGCATCAAGGCGCGCCACCTCCTGGCCACAGACGCAGCCACAACCTTCCTCGCCGCCAGCCCGCACGCCGCACAGGACATGGCCGGCAACGACGTCGTTGGGCTGCCGCACACGAGCGCGCTTGGCCTCGCTGCAACCGCCGCCGACGGCAGCGTGTACACGGCAGATGCCAGCGCGCCCCTGCTTGTTGCCTTTGACCTTGACATGGACAGCGGCGAGCTTGTGCTATCCTTTGACGAGCCCGTGCGCGGCGCACTCGTGAACGCGTCCAGCGCCGTGGTGCAGAGCAACGTGACGCGGGAGAGCGACGCTGCGGGCCCGCTGTACCACCGCATTGTGGACGGCCGCGTGGTGGCTGCCAGCAACGCGACGACGGTGCGTGTGCAGCTGAGCGTTGGCGACGTGAATGCCATCCGCACCGTGCGGGCGCTTGCCTCGAGCGCAGCCACGACGTACCTGAGCTGGGACAGCGCGCTGGCGGAGGACATGGTTGGACTCGGCGTTGTTGGTGCTGGTGCCAGTGCAGGTGTTCGGGTGCAGCAATACGGCGGCGACGTGAGCCAGCCCCTGGTTGTGTCTGCTGTGCTGAACATGACGAGCGAGACGCTTGCGCTTGGGTTTGACGAGCCCGTGGACGCAAGTACGCTGCAGATTAGCGGCAAGATCACGTTTGAGAGCCGGCGCGTGTGGGCTGCTGGGGACAGCAGTGGCATCTACAGCCCAGCGGCGTACACGCTGCAGGGCGGCGCGGTTGTTGGCGGCGCGGGCAACGGCGAGCGCGGCAGCATGGGCATCGTCGTGCGGCTCGCAGCAGACGACGTGCTCGCGCTCAAGGCAAACCGGGCGCTGCTTGGCGTGGGCCCCGTGAGCAGCATTGGCGCGAGCGAGGATGTTGTTGGCGTGCGGCTTGGCACCAACGCCGTGCTGGACATGGCATCCAACGGCCTCGGCACCACTGTGCGCAACCTCACGCTGGGTGATGGCAACGGCAACACGGGTGTCAGCATGGGTGGTATTATGGCAGCCGCAGCGGGCACGTACGCGTTCTACGCAGACACGGCTGCGCCGCAGCTGACGGCGGCGGTGATTGACGTGAATGCGTCGCGGGTGGTGCTCAACTTTGACGAGCCCGTGCACGCGAGCGCGTTGGATGCAACGCTGCTGAGTGCGGTGAGCGGGAGCGGGCAGTATGGCGTCAGCGGGCAGTGGCATGCGCTCGGCGGTGGCTCGACGACGAGCATGGACGGCACGCAGGTTGAGGTTGTGATTGAGCGCGCTGATCTGCGGGCCATCCAGCTGCTTGTTGGTGTGTGGACAAACGCCAGCACGGCGTGGGTGCATGCGCTGGGCGGGCTTGTGTCGGACATGTCAGGCAATGCGCTTGAGACGAGCGAGCTGGCGGCGGCTGACTTTGTTGCTGACGAGATCCGGCCACGCATTGTCGGGGTTGAGCTTGACATGGACCAGGGCCGGGTTGTGGTGAACATGAGCGAGCCTGTTGCTGTTGCCAGTGTGAACGTGAGTGCCGTGACGCTGCAGCGTGGGGCACTGGTTGTGCTTGATGCTGCTGGCGCCAATGCGAGCGCGGAGTGGGGCAACCCGTACCTGCAGCGCCTGAGCAGCAACACGACGGTGCTGACACAGACCAACGGGCTGGGCTTCGTGCTTGAGCTGGTGCGGGGCGACATGGACGCGCTCAAGGTGAAGGGCATTGGGTCGAGCGTTGCGACGACGTGGCTGACGGCGACGTCGGACCTTGTCGTTGACATGGCTGGGCGGCGGGTGCGTGCTGCGGTGAATGGGCAGAGCGCCGTCCAGGCGGGCCGTGTTGTGGCGGATGCGACGGCGCCGGTGCTTGAGCGGTTCTCGCTTGACATGGACGCAGCGCGGCTTGTGCTGTGGTTCTCCGAGACGGTTGAGAGCAGCAGCCTGAGCACTGGGGAGGTTGTGCTGCAGGGGCGCGCTGGTGCACTTGGTGGGCTTGGCTTGCACGAGGTGTATCAGCTTGGGACGAGCAGTGCCGGCCGAGCTGGCTGGGCTGAGACGGAGGTGGTGTCTGGGGACGGCCCCGTGCAGGTGGTGTCGCTTGGGCGGGCCGATATGGAGGCGCTGAAGCTGCGGTACGGCGTTGCGACGGCGCGCAGCACGACGCTGCTGTCGTTTGGCAGCGCGCTTGTTGCGGACCACGCTGGGAACGCGGTTGTTGGTGTTGCTGGAGCGAGCGCTGTTGAGGCGAGCGTGTTTGGCGGGGACGTGACGCCACCGCGCGGGGTTGCTGTTCGGGTTGACCTCGCTGGTGCCGTTGACAGCGACGGTGTTGCTGGTCGCACCATGACACTCAATGTGACGTTTGATGAGCCCGTTGTGGGCGGTGTGCTCAACGTGTCCAGCATTGTGCTGTACGGCAGCAACAACAGCAGCAGCAGCAGCAGCAACAGCTCCAGTGCGGTGATGTACCGGCTGCAGGACGGCGTGAGTGGCGTTGCGACCGGCACTGAGAACGGGACGGAGGTAGTGGTTGTTGTTGGACGCGCCGATGCGAACGCCATCCGCGCGCTGCCTGGCCTGTGTGCTGATGCGAGCACGTGCCTTGTTGGGTATGAGAGCACGCTTGTGCGGGACATGGCAGGGAACGCGGTTGTGGCGCGAGGCGCGGCGGCGGGGACGCTGCTGGCGCCGGCGCAGTTTGTGGCGGACGATGTGGCGCCGGTGCTGGAGGGTGTTGGGCTCGACATGGATGCGGGCGTGCTTGAGCTGTCGTTCAGCGAGACCTTGTCGTTGACATGGCTGGGCGGCGGGTGCGTGCTGCGGTGAATGGGCAGAGCGCCGTCCAGGCGGGCCGTGTTGTGGCGGATGCGACGGCGCCGGTGCTTGAGCGGTTCTCGCTTGACATGGACGCAGCGCGGCTTGTGCTGTGGTTCTCCGAGACGGTTGAGAGCAGCAGCCTGAGCACTGGGGAGGTTGTGCTGCAGGGGCGCGCTGGTGCACTTGGTGGGCTTGGCTTGCACGAGGTGTATCAGCTTGGGACGAGCAGTGCCGGCCGAGCTGGCTGGGCTGAGACGGAGGTGGTGTCTGGGGACGGCCCCGTGCAGGTGGTGTCGCTTGGGCGGGCCGATATGGAGGCGCTGAAGCTGCGGTACGGCGTTGCGACGGAGCGCAGCACGACACTGCTGTCGTTTGGGAAGCGCGCTTGTTGCGAACCACGCTGTGAACGCAGTCGTTGGTGTTGCTCGGAGCGAGCACCTTGAGCCGAGAGTGTTTGCACGGGAACGTGACGCCACCGCGCGGGGTT